ATAGGCTTGGGGTAATGATTAGATTGAGTCCATCATCATTTGCTGGTCACTGTGTTTGAATCTCATAGCCCTCTGTAATGGTGGGATAATACTTTGTGCATCCAACTCTCCTAAATAAATTTTGGGGACCCTCATGCGTTGGTTACATCCTATTTTTATATAATTTCATACAAATTTTCATTAATTTGACTAACTCCAAGATGTGTTGTGTGGAGCCTTATGCATGCATTGAGTGCATCTTTTTTTTTTAATATAATATTATTTAATTTTTCATTTTATATGAATAACCTTTACTGCTTATCATATCACTGAGGTCATCTATTTGTAATTTTTTGAATCTGCTTGGTAAAATGAAAAGATTTTAATTCAATGAAAAATTTCATAATTAATGTTAGGATCAAGATTACGATTTTGATCTGCATTTTAGTAGCTCACGGAACAAATGTACGGAGTGAAGTAAAAGATAGGAAATATGATGTTTTGCTATTGATGGAACAAGAATCTAACTTCAATTTATTGATAATATAGGCATTACGTTTATAAGTTCTGCGTCATTTTTTTCTCTATATGTTTGTCGGTCAACTTTTTCGATAGATTTGAAAATATGAATATGAAAGTAATTTTTGAAATTTAATTTAAGTATAAGAGGTATATAGTTTAGGTTTTGAAAGTAGTATGTTTTAATTTTTTTGAAAAAAATGAGACCAAATGGATCTCATTCGTCCAATAGTTTGCATAATCGTGCCTAACACCCTGAATACTACACATTTCAAGAGAAAAGTGTAGACCCCGATAATAGGCCCAATCCTGCAAACTAAAAGATTTGTGACATCCATTTGGTCTGCGAACATTTTATATATGACCGACAAATTCCCCTATTTAATACAAAGATTAAATAGGATTTATTTTACCTGGGTTCCAAGTTCCCTATAGAGGCAAACCCCTATAGTTAATTACATCCCAAGTGACGAAAATCACTTGAGAAAACTCTCGATAATGATCAGTGGTTCTAGTCTTCAAGAATTCAAAGTTCAGGTTTTCAAGGTAGGACGTGGAAAAACAAGTGAAAGTGGCTCAAATAGGAACAGTTATTTCAGGAGTCCAAAGGAAGGAACAGGTAGGGGATGTCATAGATCCTGAGGAGAAACCTCAGTGACATCCCAGACTATCCTACGGTGTGACTATATTTTTGGAGACGACGTTAATTAAGTGTTTGATCCTGTCAGTTTTATTATTTGGGACTTAAACTTGCATAATGTCTGATTATGCAAATAACCCACAGAGATATGAGGGTTTACGTCGTACCGTACGACAACCTCGGAACCTAAGTCGAGTTAGGACTCACGCTGCACATCATGACTGTACAGGGGCCTAAAAAGAGAGAGTGAGGATTTACGTAGCGCTAGGAGAGCTCAGGAGAGCTACCTCGAAGCCTTATGGGTTGTTTAAACTAGGCAAGGTCAGTTGGTGCAGACTCGTTCTGCTGTTGTAGAATGACGACCACCTCCACCTGTAGTTCGTTCCAAACTTCTTGCTGCGCTGCCCACGAAGTTGCTCCGAGCTCCTTGTCGCAGTAACAGTCCTAAAGTCTAAAGCTCAAACAGTTTTACCAGGTGAGTTTCAATGTCTCAATTTGGTTGTCTTTGGGGGGGTTCAAGTTGATTAGAGCGACACCGGTTAGGATCCCATGGTTCCCTCATTCCGGCATCACTATTTTCTTTTGAACTTACTTAGTTTAAACGAGTTGTGAAACTCATTTAAACCGGAGAGATCTCATTAGCAACCGTGGGTTACCTCCTCCGAGGGACTCCCGTAAGTTCGAAAGAACGTGTTATGTTTTGTTTCGTTTTTAATTTTGAAAAAGTTGTTTAATTAAAAAAAATCGTTTTATTTTGAAAGTGAGATTGTATTCAGTACCTGCATAATGTGTTACAATAATTGCAATAAAGAAACAAAAACAACAACAAATGAAATGTGTCTGCGTACGTGGTGTATCTGCTGCTGCTATTCCTGTTGCATGTTTAACTCACAAAACTCAAAGGCATTTGCGGTAATTTGCGGGAATAAATTGCAGAGAAATGAAGAAAACAGTGAGCAGTAGAACAAGTTGTAGTAATAACTAGGAACTCCAAACAGGTGATTCTAAGGTTTTCTACAACTCCTCACTACACCTAGCGAGCTAGTATGGTGATCCTACGACCTCATGCGGCTCAGGTAAACAACTAGCAAGTGTGTACGGTGATCCCACGACTCCGGAGAACAGCTAGGAATTTCGAATAATGTCTGTATGAGTTCCTATGAACCCCAACAACAATAGGCAGCAACTAGATGGCTTCCAAACGAACCCAAATCGTGGTAGACATCTCCTACGTGGCTTCCTACGAACCCAAATCGTGGTGGACAGCTCCTAGGTGACTTCTTATGACATCCAAATAGTGGTGGGCAGCAACTAGACGACTTCCTATGACACTGGGCAGCAACTAGCACTCCAAATCATTAATTTCAGTACATCACAGCACTCCAAATAATTATTTTCAGCACATCGCAACACTCCAAATAATTAATTTCAGCATATCGCAACACTCCTACAGCACTGTACAACTTCAAACAACATTTAAATGGAACACAAAATCCTCCAAAATAATGATTAAAACAGTTTCCAAATGATGGGTTTAGTTCCACCAAAACAGCAACTAAAACAGTCTCAAATGAGGGGTTTAATTCCAGCAAAACAGCGATTAAAACATCCCCAAATGATAAGTTTAATTCCTCCAGAACAGTGATTAAAACAGTCCCCAAATGATGGGTTTAGTTCCACCAAAACAGCGATTAAAACA